TCAAATCCTCCTTATAATGACTTTAGAAAGCTTAGAGTCACAAGTGTCACTCCTCTAATGGCTCACAAACACCAAGAGCAAGAGGATGAAGAATGATAAGATAGGAGGCACTGAAAAACATGTGGAAACCCTAAGGAAACTCTTAGCCACGTTTTTGGTGCTCTAGGGATCCTTAAATAGTGAGGCTATTAGGGTTATCTAACAAGGAAACCCTAATTTGACTGCTAAGACCCTAAGCAACCCATGGACTCCCTCCTTAGAGGCCTAGGACGATTTCTAATGGGTTTCCCCATAGAATTCATCCACCCCTCTAATATGGAGTCCATTAGCCCAATATTCAACTATCATACAACTGACAGTTCTAGTCCCCTTTATTTAATTAATCTCTTTTAGCCACAAAATTAATTCTTATTAATTATTGACTAATATTAATTAAACAATATGATTTCTTCTTTAATATATTATTCTCATAATATATTAATAAATCATAATTAATCCTTTCTCTCCATAATTCATCCTATCAAGTTGCTTTGGTGAAGGCAACCCAAAAGGACCATGCACCATCGGGTCAAGTACATACCAAAGTAGTTATGGACTTAGACACTAATCCAACAACAGACTCATCAAGTTCCTTCAGAACTCAGAAAACCACGAAAACCCGAGTCAACTCGCCGAGTTACCAAACAACTCGTCGAGTCCATGTAATGTCTAGAAGATCAGGAAAACCCTAACCAACTCGTTGAGTTGGCTATGCAACTTGTCGAGTTCCCTCATCCCTTTTCTCATTTAGACTCTTTTAGGTGAAACCAAGGTTCCAAACTATAGATCTAGCCACCTAGGGTGTAGTTACCACATAAAGGTGCCAAATTTAAATGCATGCAAGGCCTCAAGAGGCTAAAACACCAAAAACTAGTCTAAGGAAGAGGTTTAGGTCATTGAGAAAGGCCAAGACTAGATAAAGCCGATAAATTTATGACTATGGGGGCATAGAGGAGTCCAGATCTGAAGTTACAACTTCAAATCATGCTCAACTTCCGAAAATGGATCCAAAGTAAGCTAAAAAGGCACTAAACTCTTAAATGGAGAGATCTAACAAGTAAATGATCAAGGTAATGACTTTTTACCTTCAAAAGGTTGCTACAACTGAGTAAACGCAGGATCTATAAGCTCCTTCTGGTTCCAAGCTCATAAACCTTCAAGTTTCTCCAAGAAATGCACCAAACACACACTCTTTAGTCTTGTACACGCTCAAAATGGAACGTTAGCTCATTTAGGGTTTTCTTTTGGATCATAGGGTGGTAAGGGAGACTGGTGAGGGGACTTAAGGTCCCTTAAATATGGTGCAAACCCTAAAAATTAGGGTTTTCATGCACAACTTCAACTCGTCGAGTTGGGGTCCTCCAACCCATCAAGTAGGTTCCATAACCCACGCGACCTGATTAGTTTCTACACGACAAGTTGGTGCCTCCAAGTCGTTGAGTAGGTCTTAAGTGATGTATAAAAATTCTTGAAGTTCATACCTAAGAGTCGGGATGCTACATATTCATGGCCTAAAACTATAATTTTCTCGTAAAAGGTGTTTGTTTGTTCATCTAAAAATCACTTTATAGCTTTTTGACTTCTTGAAAAGTCAATAAGTTAAAAGAAGTGTTTGCATAAAAATTGTTTTTTAAAACAATTTTTTGATTAGTCTTAGAAAATGAGATTTCAAGAAGTCGTAATTTCTAACTTCTTGAAACAACTTATGATTTATTAGGTTTACAAAGTACAAAAAAGACAAAATTAAGCTAAACACTTTTTAACTTATTGCCTTATTGACTTTTGTAACTATAAAAGGTAATCCAAACATTTTTTTTAAAAACTTACTTTTCCATTTTTATAAGTCAATAAGTTCTTTTGGATAAAAGTCACCAAAGGACGAACAATAATTACTCTAAAAAACCGCTTGTGTGACTATAAAGTGTTTACAGGCACTAAAATTGAAAAATCCAATATAAACTCATACCCAATTGGTCACACACTTTATGGTTTTGGTAAATTAGTCGTACCCAATTAGTCGCATATTTATGGTTTTGGTTAGTGTTTTTAAATGGATACGACCAATAAATCAATGGAAGATTAATACATGATGATCAATCCTATGATAATACAATATAATGTTTAAACTCAAAGCATATTGATAATCAACTACATCCTAAATATACAAGCATAGAATATTTAAAATCATGAAAGTTATTTGCTTAAATCATACAAGCTAGACAAGTACTAATCACTTTAACATTCCAGTGACACCACTAAACTATTTATTTGATGTTGGTGATTTTGATCATCAATGTTATTTAAGTGTAATGAGATTACTTTGTGTTGACCAAAAATGATCTTGATAAATATTAAACAAGTAAGGAAGGTGTGGAGTACACATTTGTTTAAGTTTGATCAAGTTTCAAAGTACACTGTCATTTATGGGCGAAGCCCCTGAACGAACGGGGGTCCGGGGGCAGCGCCCCTGGGAGCGGGGTCCAAGGGGCGGCAGCCCCTGGCGGGGTCCAAGGGGCAGAGCCCCTGGCTGGGATATATCCGTTTTTATATCCGTTTTATGACAGTTTTTATGGTTTTATGACAGTTTAAAACTGTCATATGATAATTTTCAGACAAAGTTGTTAAAAGTTGGTTTTGGTCTCATTTTCTGGTACATACGAAAATATCATCAAACATTCTTTGTTCTTGTCTCTCTGAGTCTTATCCAATTGAAGATTTGGGAGTACCACCAAATACTTCGATTTGAAAGTGATAATCACAATTCTCAGAATTTCCAAGCCTTTCTAAACTCAAATTTCTAACATTTGATACTTTTAACAATTTAGGTAATGTACTTTTTAATTAGACATTCTATTTTCATTTCGGATATCATGTCTTGAGTTTAAGCATAACCATTTTGTTCCAAACTCCTTTTAGTAATATTGGTTGCTAAATACAACTATTTCATTTAGATATTATACTTTCAATAATAGCAATATACTTTCATTATCTAAGATTCCCACACATTTGTAATTTTCAACGCAATATAATTGTATAATACTTCATTAATTCACCAATACTATTACTTAGTTCCTGAATTATATTTTGAATACTATCCCAACCTCAAAATATTCAAGTATGTTTTTGTAATATTGTTTGATATATATTACATTACTAAAAATATCTAGTATGTGCTACCTCATTATAGTTCAACTAGGAATAACATTAATTAATTTGGAACACTATACTCCTTGTCTGTTGAATGATTTGATAAAACATCCAAAACCTCCATAACTTCTAAAGCTTAGACATGAGAAGGAAATGCAGATACAAGTTCATCTTCAGGCCTATGCTTAAAAACCACCCATTCATCATCAGTCGGATCTTCACATGGAATCTTCACTCGGGCAATGGTCAGCATGTATGGAATGTAACCTACAAAGTCATATTACCTAAAGTTGACCGTTGCATGGTGATCGGAAGCTACCCGGATGATTTTATGTCAAAATTCCGATTAGATCATTTGGTGTTTGTAGAAGAGGCCACCATGGTTCGTCTTTTTTGTCTCCATGTTCAAATATTCTAATCTCTGTCCACCATGCATGAAGCTCTGAGTCTGATTTTACAAGAATCTCTTATATCTATTTCTGATGGATTTTTTCCGTCGCTAAAATATGTCGGTAATATCCCATTTTCTAATGGTGTTCCTCTCTACAATCAAAATCGGAAAATTAGAAACTTGAAACATCAAAAATTGTGATTGCATCTTTCTAGAAATTTATACACCATTTTATCTCTGTGTGTTTAATCGATGGTTCACGAAACAAATAGATACGTTTAAGGGAAATTGATTATATGAAGGAATGAAAAGTAGGGGAAATGCACATAAGGACCTAACAAAAAATGCAATGAAGATGCATTTGAAGGACATCTTATTTATGGATACCAATAACATTTTGTTACTTATTTGTCGCTAAAAAAGTAGGAATTGAAAACTGATTGAACGATATAACTGTAAATCGTCCTATTTTTTGATTGAATCAATAAATAAATTTAATTTCTCACCGATCTGCAGCCTGTTTCCTGTGGCTTTTGCCTTTGGGGAGGAAGTATTGTGTTTTTGTATGTCAAGAACTCAATAACAGTTACGTGGGTGATACCCGGAATCATAGTTGGGAAATGGTTTCACAAAATATTTCTAGTTATGCTACACTCATTGCACAACATGATAAATAATATCAATAAATCAATGGGAGATTAATACATGATGATCAATCCTATGATCATACGGTAGAATGTTTAAACTCAAAGCATCTCAATAATCGGTTACACCCTAAATATACAAGCATCGGATATTTTCAAAATCATGAAGTTATTTGCCTAAATCATACAAGCTTGACAAGTCTTAATCACTTTCACACCCAAGGACGCCACTAAATTATTTTTTTGATACTTTTAACAATTTAGGTAATGTACTTTCTAATTAGACATTCTACTTTCATTTCAGATATCATGTCTTGAGTTTAAACATAGCCATTTTGTTCCAAACCCCTTTCAGTAATATTGGTTGCTAAACTAACATTTGGGTATTAGTTATACTTTCAATAATAGCAATATACTTTCATTATCTAACATTCCTAACGCATTTATATTTTACAACACATTCTTAGTGAATAATATTTCATTAATTCACCAATACCATTACTTAATTCCTGAATTATATTTTGAATAGTATCCCAACCTCAAAATATTCAAGTATTCTTTTATAATATTGTTTGATATATATATTACAATATTATATTATATTACTAACAATATCTATTATGTGCAACATCATTAAAGTTCAACTAAGAATTGCGTGAATTTATTTGGATAAACACCAATTTTATTGCCCTTACATGGTCTGGTGGAAATGCGTTTTGTATGGAATTACAATTACAACATGACATGACCCACTAAATATAAAGAATTTCAAACACCATCTATATGGAAATACTATTTGGAACCCCCATACTAGTGACACCAGGTTCCGAAAAAGGCTTTAGAAGGTTGTACGGTACAACCCCAACTCCATTTCTGTTCTTCCTGCTCTCATCCGCATTCCTCCCATCAATAATCCCTTCCAACTCCTTCAACCTCCCTGAAAATATCTCATACGCAGCTTTTATCTCTGGGTTTACCTCAAAAGCTGGTTCACACGTCTCCCCAATATACTCCTCGTCTACAGAATGATTTGATAAAACATCAAGAACAGCCATAACTTGCGACGCTTGAACCTGAGAAGGAAATGCAGACAAAAGTTCATCTTCTGGCCTACGCTTAAAAACCTCCCATTCATCATCAGTCGGATCTTCGCAGGGAATCTTCACTCGGGCAATGGTCGGCCTGTTTGGAATGTACCCCGCAAAGTCATACTGCCCGAAGTTCACCGCTGCATGGTGCCCCGAAGCTACCCAGATTATCGTTGTCAAAATCCCGATTAAATCCTTTGGTGTTTTCAAAATCGGCCACCATGGTTCATCTTTCTTGTCCGCGTGTCCTTGTGTTCTAATCTCTGTCCACCATGCTTGAAGCTCTGAATCTGATTCTACAAGATTCTCTTCTGGGTAATAATGGTTGACATAGTTGGTGACCCAATCTTTGATTATATCCCAAAGGACTAAACCGTCATTTGCGTAAGGGTAGTCTTCTATTGTTAGCTTTAGGCCGTGTGGTGAATCGGGGTCTTCAACCGCCATGCCTCTTGCGATTAGGTCAGCGGGTAATGCTTCGTGGTCAAACCGCCATTGTTGACCATACGCGATTGAACTCAACTCAATACTGTATTTTCCTGGTGAAAAACAAGTTTCGATAATTCCACCAGCATTTATGAGGGATTCCCGAGCCAAAGCATTGATCTCCATTGTGTATCGGAAATGAGGGTGTAGTAGATTATGTATCGGGTGCATTTTGCTGAGCTGGCGATTGGTGGCTATTATATATGGCTCAGTGCAACAATGTGTTCTCAACCTGAAAATTTGAAATCAGTGTATCATATTATAAAAATAACTTTTAATAAGATTATGGTTCACTTCAATAAAGGATGCATGGTTCGTTACTTACCAGTGACTTACGAGTTGATGGTAGCCACCATCATGAGCAAGAACATGGATCTTAGCAAGCTTCCATAGCCAAGCACCTGTTGCTTCCCAACATGGAGTAAATACTCGCTTCCATTGAGGTTTCCCATTGCCAGGTGGCCTAACAAGCTCAATAGCCAATGGTCTTAATGTTCCAGATGGCATAAGGAACATCAGTGTTCGTGATCCGTATAAAGTTGTTCTGAATTTTTTTTGATCTCTAACTTTGTGCACATATGGAAGGAAGATATCATGATAATCTAGAATGAAAAGCTTCTTGTCTTCTATAGTCTGCATATGAAGTAGGGTTCCATGCTTCTTTAATTTCCCAATTTAATAATGGGCAACTACAAGTTTTAGATAGTTATTAATCAATAATCATACCTCCTCCAGCGTGCAGAAGCCTTTGATCTCTTTCAAAATCATATCTTTTGTTATTGCTGATTCGGGTGGACCATACACCTCTGGATCAAGTTTACTTTTCAGTGGCCATTCCTGCACATATTTAGGCTTATTATATACTCTTCTAAAGTTTCTTTATGAATAATTAGTTGCAGAATCGTATCTAAACAATGTAACATGGATTTTTTTAATTGAATTCGGTATTTTGTTTCCATGTTTACGTTTGAAATTAAGTACTCATGAAGTAAAAACAATCAAGTAAGGTTGTTCTATATTTCTTTCTAGGAAATATACCGTGACTAAGCTAATACTCAGAGGGTTAAGACCAGCAAGAGTTTGTCGACAAAATTCTTCATCCCTCATCCAACCAAACTTATCTCCTGCAAATCAACAAAAGCAAACAAAAAAAAAAAAAAAAAAATCGTTAATTGACAGAAAGAAAGAAGGTGTTTCGTTATGTGTGTAGACAGAGAGAGAAATAAAGTACTTACTGTCAATCATTTCTGGAGTATCAAAAAGCAAGACGTTATTTTGGGCATCTTCAAAAGCCTTAAAAAGTCGAGGTAGAATATTCCCAAGAAACCCATTGTTGTCTAATGATGGCAAATTAACTCCCTCATTGAACAGAGATTCAATGGCTGTGAAGTATGGGAACCCAAGGTCTTTGTCAATAACAGATGTCTCTATGTAAGGTATGACTGCATGAAGCAACGAGTATACAGTCTTGGCATTAAAAGACATATCCTTTACTTCTGAAAAGGCTTCATCTCTTGGCACATAAACATCACCACTCCTTGACTCTGATAATGGATCTGCATTTGCAATTCTACTTAATAATCAAACGAACCAACAACCCTAAAACTTCTGATAATTTGTTTAGTAGTAGGGAAACAATCGATCGGATACCTGATTTGGAGCGAGGGCGACCCGTTTTGCAACGCCGAGGGTAAGGATAATCCTTACTGCCGAGGACCGGTCGTGACAATTCCGGATCCTTATCTGGATCGCCAAGATCATTGTAGACATCGTAATCGTATATTCTATCCGTCTTTTCCCGAGGTTTATCAGCGGCGCCGTCGCCTCGAAGAATCGCTAGTTCCTGTTCTCGCAGCTGCTTTAATCCGCTCGGCGTCTCTGAAGGTAGGCATATGACACCTGCGGCAGGCGCACCAAAAACGCAAAGTAAAATACGTATTGATTATTAATTAAAACTAAAAAGTTGCCGATGAAAGTCTTGGCATTAAAAGACATATCCTTAACTCTCTTTCTTGATTTTGACACTTGCGATTAATCTAGTAAATAAAAAGATTAGTAGGAAAAAACATAAAAGATATTTGATATACATGCTAGTCAGTGGAGTTATTTCGTCGCTAATATGTAGACATACAGATTAACGACAAAACCTTGAGGAATTCTTTTAAAGAAATTAGCTCTGGATTAAACATGGATTAGCTACGGTGAAAAAAACCATGGGTGTAATCCTTGTCTATTTTTGGAAAATTATCCACAGATTTTCAATGGATTAAAGATGAAGTGTATCTCATCATTAACCAAGGATGACTTTAAAGGAAAATTCCAGGTCCCTCTTTCTAGTAGTAGTGCTATCAAATGTAAACTCGAATAATCATATGAAACTACTAAAAGTTTATTTACATTAAAGTACATATTGAATCAAATTATTGGTTTTTTTGCAATAACTAAAACTCGTAAAACTTTATAGTATATCATATTGGATGGTGACTCATTAGAAGATCAATTAGTTGCTAACCTTGTCGAGAAAAAATACCCGTTTGTCAGGGTTATCAAACTTGGAATGAACCCAAGAATTACACGAGACGATGATGGGGTCAATTGAGAGGCCTTTAATTACAACAGATTCCACAAACATCTCTTTGCGATGTTCGTTCTCAATCATTATAGCCCCAATAGCCCCAATAGACCCAAAATCTTCAGGCACTTCAAATTCTGCTAAATATACTAACTCGTCTGCTTTTTTACCAGATCGATGAGCATAATCCACTATCGTAGCCTTTGGTAAACCGGTCTCTTCAAAAATCAAATATTAAAAAGTCAAATTAATAGGCAAAGATTACAACGAAATAGACTTTCAAACACCAAATATCATCGACGAAAACATGTCGCTAATCCAATACATCTTATTATGGTAGTGATGGTGGTATATAATGGTATCCATTGGAATGGGAAAGTGATCGTGGCATATAGTGGTGATGATGATTGTGGTTTATGGTAGTGATGGTGGTCGTGGTGTAATTCTTGGTCGTATAATAATATAATTTGCAGAACATCAGCATCTACACTTACTAGGGTCAACCTCGGCAGCAACAAGCTCCAAAAGTAGCGATTTTCCAAGCAAATCTCCGATGTCGTCAAAGGCTCGGGCAACAGTAAGGTTGGATAGGACACCACCCACCGTCATTTGGACTGTAATCACCGCTTTAAGACTGATGGTTTGAGTGACACTCGCTGTACTAGAATCACCGAAGCCGGCTTTAATTTGGCTGATTGAGTTGCGGGTGTGACTAGTATAACAGAAACACTTATGAGTAGGTTTGGTAGGAAATGCTAGGGTGTTAAGAGAGAGAAAGGAAGAAGGGCTTCCGATATTGTCAACAACCCCATTTCCGGGGATAAGATTCTTCTTCCCTTGTGTGAGTAACGCCGGAGCAAGGCGGTGGTGGTGGGAGAGGTTGTTGAGTTGAGGTTTCAACATGTTTGTGAATTGGTATTGATGCACAAAAGTATCATGCATGCCTCCTTATATATAGAAAAAAAGGAGGTAGCTAAAATAAAAAATTACTTCAGTTATAAACCTATCCATTGACTAATCGTAGAATGTTGTTTTAGTCTACTTTGTTCTCTGTTTTGGATTCATTGCTACTATACGTCTGCCTCAACAACGAAAAGTCACGTTTTTAGTAAGTTATATTAGTAGTTTTTTGTACTTAAACTGGACTATAAAGTATCGAAAATATCTTTTGTCTTTATTATTTTTTTTTATGATTTCGTTTTTTTATTTATTAATCGTGCGCATTGCATGTTACTTGAAGGGTAACTAGACGAGTGGTTCGGTTTCGTTGTTTTGTCGTTGTAGATACATGTGAATTATTACCTCTTATTTTTTTGTTGACCGGGAACTTTAGAAGAAGTATATCAACGCATAACATTTAAAATTAATATAAGTTTACAATGATTTTTTTTTTAAATTAATCCACTACAAAAAGATGTTAGATAGTGACGAAATGTAGGAGTAGTCCCTAAATGATTTAGTTACCACTGCAAAAAAATGTTAGATAGTGACGAAATGTAGGAGTAGTCCCTAAATGATTTAGTTACCAAAGTTTTGGTCATCACATTTTGTCATTATAGGCCCAACAACCCATTGGTCGCTAACATTGTCACTAATCAATGATGGTAATCAGTACTTTATCAAATTAGTGACCTGTTTTAATGACCACAAAAATGTCATTGATTGTCTTATTAGTGACTATAGTGACAGAAAAAGCGGTCACCAAATATTTATTATTAGAGACCAAATAAAATAGTCACTAATTAAGAATTATGAGAAAAGGTAATATAACTATAGATATTACAATACAACAATATCAAATGACTAAACCGCACAAATGGTATTGTGGTTCGCTCAAAATTGTCACTTTGATCTAAAAAAGTTTAGACTAGTACAAGAGGTTCAAACTTTTTTGTTGTAAGTTTGGTCCAATTTAATTTAAACTTTTTGTAATGACGTCTTTACTCTTGATTTTTTTTAATGTTTTAGTTATTTGTTTATTTAAATATTCTTATGATTAAAAGAAAAATACCTCTCTCTCTCTCTCTCTCTCTCTCTCTCTCTCTCTCTCTCTCTCTCTCTCTCTCTCTCTCTCCACATAATCGTCTTGTTCCTAAGAAAACACAAACAACTATTTCTCGAATTAAAATTAAACATACACATATCACACATATATACATAGGAAAGAGGGAAAGGATTGAGTTGTGCTTCCACCGAAGTTTTGTCTGAAACCCATCCTCATCATCACTACCTCATCTGCAATCAAACCCAAAAATCAATTTCAGACGAGGATGAACACACACACAACACGCATACCCACAGAATCATGCTTGCAAAATCATTCCCAACAACTTCCTACTTGTGATTTTGGCTTTTTACAATCAGGGAAAAGACAAAGAATTTTGATTTAGAAAGAGGTTGAAACGATGGAAGGAGTGGTGCCGTTAATGGGGAAGTCTTTTGGGGGCATGAAAGGAGGGAGAGATGGCGATAGACGCGATTCGGAAGGAGAAGTGAAGGGCGATGATTAGGGCAAATCGATGAGGTGAGAATAAAGGGAAGGAGGGTCGATTTGATCACCAGATCTTCCTCATCAATTTGATCAATTGCTTGTTTTACAACTGATTTTGTAGTGGCCGTCACCGGTGTCGTCACTGGCCTCAGCGAGTTTCTCTATGCCTGTGGCGTTTCTCACCTTCTTGTCTCCACCACTTCCCTCATCATCGCCTCCTACAGGTGGTTTGTGGATCTATGACGCATCACAAAGGTGGGTTACAGGGTTTACGGATCTGAGAGAGGAGGAGAGAAGGGTTAGCAAATTTGAAAGAGAGTGAGAGAAGGGCGGCAATCTGAGAACACCATCATATTTCACCGGATCTAAGGTTTTAGGCAGTGGCTTCCTACGTTAAGGACAAAGAGAGACTTAATTATATTTCTTTTTTAATTTAAAAGTAATGGAGGAAAAAAAAGAAAATAAAAAACATATAACAAGGGCAAAAAGGTCATTTAAACCTCCTTCAATTTTAAAACGGAAAAAATTCGCAATAAAATAAAAAGTTTAGATCTCTGTTGCTAGTCCAAACTTTTTTGGACCAAAGTGACAATTTTGACCTAACCACAGGGACCATTTGTACAGTTTTGTCTATCCAAATAAATGTTTGCATTGATAATATGAAATATTAAATGCTATTCTTAAAACACAAAACCCAACATACAAAGTCACTACTAGAAAATTGGTGCAATAGCTACAACACAATCCGTAGCTATTCCGTAGCTATAAGTGGATAGCTACGGAATTGCTACGGAAAATTAGCTGTAGCATAATGACAGGTGGCTAAATTATAGCTACAGATTCACTACGGAATAGCTATGAAATATTAAATGCTATTTTTCGACCCCCTACCCTACACTTATTTCATACAATTCCCTCATCGTATACATAAAACTAATTAAACACATAAAAACTTCAAACTCTCACACAGCTTTTTCTCACGTGATAAAACAATAGTCGGACCTAGCTGCTGAACTTACTGCCAGCTTTCTAAGGGCGAAATATCTGTAAATATCTAAAACAATCAAAGAGCATCAACACAGAAAACAAAATTACATAAATAAAACATCCTAATTAAAACACATCAAAATAAAATAAAATAAAATAAAAACAAAAAAGTCTAACAAACCAAAATAAAATAACAAAAAATGATAACTAGGTCACTCATCATCCCTGTCGTCATGTTGTTGCGTCCCTGATGTGCCTGCTCCATCATGTCGCGACTGGTATGATGGAGGAAAAGGAACCGGGTAATGAAAACCCTGATGGGCAAAGAATGCGATCATCGCATCCCCATACCATTGATGTCTACTCTCCATGTGCTCACAACGCTCGTCCATGCGCTAAAATCTCTCGTTTATGCGCTGAAAACCCCCGTCCATGCGCTGAGCAAGGTAACGTATATCAATCTATGACTCAGGTCCCTGCTGTGCTCCTCGAGAAGAAGGTCTATGCCTCCCCCATCTCTTAGGTGATGGATCATATGCGCCCTCCCCGTTGGCCATATCCGTAAAACACCATCCTCACCCCGCTCGAGTACTCGTATCGACTCCAATAACTGTAAAATCATCGGCCTCATATCATAAAACACCATCGATCTAGTGATCTCCCTCGTCAATAACTTATAAGATTGAGCTAAGTGTGTGATGAAGTGCCCACCACAAATCAGGCTATCCTCTCGAAGCCCCCTGTTCGTCCTCCCCATGTAAGCAGCTAAAGCAACCATGAGGTTTAGGTGCCTCCCTGGAGTAACAAGAATCCACATGAAATACAATATGTAGAAGACACTCTCTCACTATTCTTATGATGCGTGAGAGATATAGAAATCAGACAATGCAATAATCTGTAAGTGGTGAACCGAATCATCTTCCCCCCGAGCAGTGGATGGTATGTAAACTCCCCCAGTAATCTCAGCCCAAAAGGTATTTTCGTTGTAGTCATTTGACCGTTCCGTAAGACAATCAACAAGGAATGGCGGGAAGTGAACACTCCTCGTCTCGCCTTCAGTATAAATCCCAACTCTAGTGGCAAGCTCAATCGCACTGCACTCCCGACTCACACCAC